AACTTAAAAAAAATTATGAAATATAGAACATAAAATAGGCAAAGTATAGTGCTTTTTTAATAATTAGGAATTGCAAGGTTGGTTGGTTTGTTTGTTTTCCTGGTACTAGGAATAGAACTCAGGACCTTGCACTTGTGAGGCAGGCAAAGCGCCACTGAGTTAAATCCCCGGCCCAGAATTGCAAGTTTTTGAAGAATTGTTTGATAGTACATTATAACTGATACCTCACACATTTTTGAGAAAATAAATCACTATTATTTCTTCCTTTCTCATTGTCACTTCTGTGTCATTGTTGAATTTTATAGTATGTCCTCCATAGCAGAGGCTCTATGAAAGATAATTTTTTAAAATTAAACTTTATTTTATCCCATCCTTCTCCAAGACAATTTTACAACTTTAGAAATTCCAAAAATATTTGAGTATTGACAATGCCATTGGAATAACATTGCATAGACAATGCATTGGTTACAACTTTAGGAGGTCATATTCCTCATTTAAATTTACTCATTTAAATTGGTTGAATGGACAATGCATTGGTTGCAACTTTAGGAGATCATATTACTCATTTAAATTTATTATTTTAGTTATGTTCTGAACTATCACATTATATGTTTTTAAGAGTCTTCATTGCATATATTTAATTAAACTTATCCTCACATCTCATTAATTCAGATGAGATTCTCATCCCCACATTGTATTTGAAATTAATTAGATAATATCCACTTGTCCTGATTTGAACTAAAATGGTTTATTTTGTCCTTATTTTTTTTGTGTGCCATCTATTAATATAGAGACTGCAGGTAGTCCTAAATTAGTAGTAAGTTAGTTGTTTTAACATGTTTTCCTGGCTTGAACCACTGATGCTACATGTATGACTGTTCTATTGGGCAGCTTGTACCCCTGGTGGTACAAACGAATCTAATAACTTTCATCAATCCTTTTACTAATAAAGTTAATAAAAAGCCACCCAATGGGACAGTTGTGTATGTAAGACCAGTGGTTCAATCCACTTGGGAGCAAGACATATGAATCACAGCCCCATCATGAACATGTTAAAATACATTAGTCTTCCTCTTTATGAAGCTATATACAATTCTTAATACATCCTGCATTGGTGATTGGTAACAGAAGTTTCTCAAGCATATTACATCTGGTTCTGTTGTTTCATACTTTTTTTACTATGACATTTTAATGAATTTCACTCTATTCTAAAACTTATCTCAATATAAGACTATTTTGACTGCTTTACCCTGGTAATATACTGCCACTGACGTATCACAAGTTGTATTGTCAAATTTTAAAAAGAGTGTTATATAATCCCAACACTAAGGAGGCCGAAGGCTGGAGGATCCCAACTTCGAAGCCATCCTGGGCTACTTAAAAAGTTCAAGGCCAGCCTGGACTATATAATGAGACTGTGTCTTAAAAATAAATAGAAAGGAAGATTATTATATGAAAGAAATTTTTCTGGTAATTCTGATCAAGAAGATAGTTGGTAATTAATGATCCAAATGGATAGTTGATTAACAGTACACAGCAAGGCCAGGTGTAATGACTCATGCCTGTAATTCCAGCACTCTGGAGGCTGATGCAGAAACATCTCCATAAGTTTGAGGCCAGCCTGGACTACATAATGAAACCCTGTCACAAAAAAAAAAGTCTATACAGCTATGTTTGAAGTCTTATGATATTGTCACATATGCTCCACATGAAATTATAGAGTTGCTGAGATGCTCTAATATACCTGTATTTAATCTTAAAATTTTAGTATTTTTATACTTTTCCTGTATATTTATCATGTAGTCTGCATGAATGAATCTTTCATTACTTTATTATATGTAAAAATTAATTTTTCAAGAGCTTATAATTAGTTGCTGTTATTTGTCCACTAAATTATAAAATGATTTTTATTGCCTTATTCTTCCATACATAAACAGATTATTATGGCATTAGCAGAGGATTTGCTGTGTTCTGCTGCTCAAAACAGTCGCCTTTCAGCTCAGCGCACACAAGCTGGATGGTTGTTGATTGCTGCTCTTATGACATTAGGTAACAGTCCTATAAAAGGTTGATAGAATTATGAAATACTTTGTTTTCTGAGCAAAATTCTTAGTAGATATTATTTGTGGAGGTTAACTTTAATATGTATCAAGGCCGGGAATTTAGCTCAATGGTTCCGCCTCCTGCCTCACAAGCGCAAGGACCTGAGTTCAATCCCCAGTACCAAAAA